TCTCGAATTCCTACGGGAACGGTGCTCAATGGTAGTGATGTTCGGGTGTCGTATACCATCGCCCGCGCTATCCTCAGGGTGCTGCACTTGCATCGGTACAAAATCTCGCTGTCAGGGTTACGTGACATCTTGAACTTTTGTGCATGGTCCTGTTACGAAACCCTGTGACGCAGACGGATAGAGGGCAGCGGCTGCCAAAGCATCGAAACGTGCAAAAAACGTATGGCGAGCCAGGAAACGGGATTTTTCAAGGGAGGGGACTCCGGGGTGGGTGAGCTACTTATAGTCGGTGAAAAGCTGGAGTGAGCGAAGTCACAACGGCCATAGAGTGCCATGCGGACGAGAGAGTGCAGAGAAAAAGAGAAGATCGACTCGTTTAAAGGGACTGAGTTCAAGTTCCGTAGACCCGCTGTCAGAGGTAGATAGCAATCGGAAGTAAGAGGGCGCAGACATGTAGCGCGTTTGATTACGGTTAAGCGCGTGGCTGGCTGTGCGGCAGCGCGGGTGGAGGCGTCAGTCGGTATCCTTGCATTCCACCGCTGTTCCCACGCTTCTTTGACCGGAGAAAGTAGCACGCTAGCGCACCTGCGAACCCGTTCTATTCGCACATGGCAAGGACCTGAAGTTAAATTTATAGTTCGTCTCTCGCAGTCTTTGATGTTCTGGAAATGTGGCGCAGGTCGAGTCCGAAGGTGCGCCAGAAAATTCTACACCATCATTAAAAGAAATTGCTTTCAGTTATATCGACGAGCATTTCGCAACGCCGCTCCGAAATCCATCTGTTATCGCCGGGTAATTTACTTCTACACGAAAACGATGTGGTCCGAGTTGGTTGGTCTGGTGGCAGTCAGCGTTCTTGACATCAAGTGCAATTTCTGTAAGTCACAGCTCTGTTCCTGCACCACCTCGTATGAGGTTCAGTCGTGCTATGCTGCGTAGTAAATCAAGGTTGTCATTCGAAGTGACTGCGATTTCAGTGATTCATGCAATCGCCTATTCTCTCTGGATAATCTCTT